TCTCTCTCTCTCTCTCTCTCTCTCTCTCTCTCTCTCTCTCTCTCTCTCTCTCTCTCTCTCTCTCTCTCTCTCTCTTTTTACATTTTTTACCCCAGAGAGGGATTTGTCCTTGTTTTACTTGCTGCATGTCAAATGGGAATGTGTTAACACCTGTATAATGTTCAGCATATTTGAACAATTGAAGCTATAATAAAAGGAAGTTTTGTTCTTTACAAATTGTTTAAGGAAACTGYTTTTTAGGTCTATTTATTGATCTAGAACTAGTTACATTATTATCCATTCACAAGACCTTAAAGCAGTCACTAGATTTTGGCCTGAACCAGCCTGTATTTATTATTAATGTGGTCTGACACATTTCATACAGTTTAATGGGGTTATAACTTTAAGGTCAGACTAACAACTGAGCTACAGCTGAACAATTTAAATGATTAAAAATACCAAAAAAAGAGARRAAAAMAAACAGAAAAACAGAAGTTACATAACCCAAAACATCATAGTTTGTATTGAATTTAAATATACTTCCTTTTCTTGAACTTTGTGAAAAAAAATTTTCCCCTGCAATTCTCTTCACACACTTTTCGATTTACAGCTAAATAACAAAGACTCATACATTCACATGCATTAGCTAAACTTTTTTAATGCATTATCTAAACTTTTTCTTTATTTTGCATTAAAAAAACCAAAGCAAGTATCCGGTTATTGCTGAAGTGAGCACTATTGGTTAAATTCTACTTCACAYATTATCCTGTTTGTTGGCTAAKAAAGTAAATTTAGAATTTCTAATAYCCCATTTATCATTTCTTGACTCCTCGCACTCATTAGCTGCCAACTGGAAATGATCCCAGGCACCTCAGCTGGTTTCTGCAGGTAAATTTAATCTAAAACTGATGCAACAGTATCAGCTGTCCACTTATTTTATGACACAAGTACCTGCATATAAACGTGCATGAACATCACACGAGCATGTGCTCTAGAATAATAAAAGCAACAAAATATTTAACAGATTTCAATTTTAAATCTAAGTGTGATTATTTATTTATTTATTTATTTATTTATTTATTTATTTATTTATTTATTTATTTATTGTTTGTAG